ACAAACCAATGTAAGAATCTTCATTGTGTTTGCAAACATAATAATAGTGACAAACAGTTTGATTACACAGGTCTTCAAAATTGTTTATTATTCTTCATTCATTCTATCATGTTCAGTTCTGACATGTAATTTCCTTATTAATGAATATATTTTTCACGCAGGTTCACGCCTACTACGAGGTTTGCGGCGGACCCTGGGAGTACGCCGGCCTCGACTCCCAGCAGATGCTGTGCTGCAGTCTGGGCCAGCATGAGCACTGCATCAGCCGTTGATATGGTTTTTGCTAATAAATCCCTAAAAACCCTCATAGAGTTGTTTACATACCCACGCCCGCGCGAGTCCATCCCATCAGATCTTTTCCATCTCTACACTTCAATGCAAATATGCTAGCCGCTGCCCCAAAATGTATTCAGGATACACCTCATTACGCCTAACCTGCCCTAGGTATCCACTCTTTATAAATCGGTTTAATCAGAGTCTGCCAGTAACTCATTGCTAACCACAAAAAAAAAGAAAAAAAAACACACACACACACACACACACACACACACACACACACACACACACACACACACACACACACACACACACACACAACACACACACACACACAACACACACATAATATATATAATATAATATATATATATATATATATATATATAAATCTGACAGCGGACGCTTACCTAACTGCAAAGTAGACTTTACAGAACAAAAACAAAGTATACGACTTAATTTTTAGCAACAAAGTGAGTAATAAAAGTGATAAGCGATAAATGTTTAAAAAAGATACACACAACATTAATATGCTTATATTCCATTCAACCCTTCATTGAAATAAAATTTTGATCAACTATATAGCAACGATATTAGTAAGAAAAAATTAGAGGGAAAATCTTTACAAAATGGCGGAGAGGCTTGGATAAAGCGAGCTGCCATGCTACATGCCAAGGAGATATCTGAGTCATTTCCCCCTTGTTAGGATTGCGGTTTATCCATAATGGTTTTAGAAATAATAGTCACTAAGTCTGCGATCATCAGCTGTATTGGATTTAATGATAACAAAAACTGTCAAAAAGTGTAGTCTTGGTACCATCCACCTCCCCCCCCCAAAAAAAAAGGGAAATACCCTTTTTTGTCATTCTTATCCTGTCATGTCAGTCCACTTTCTTTCCCTCGGCTTTTCAGAGAATTACGGCCTATTTTTTTGTCTCCTTATGCAGCAATGTTCCATTATCTGGCCAAGGCATGGAATAGGAAAACGACCGGGCTTTGAAAAGTAATTAACACGGAGTAATAAGGTGTTTAGCATCTTGTTTATTAAGCAAATTGTCAAAGGAACAAAGATAACAAATAATGAATTACACAAAAAAGGTAAAAAATACAAGTACTTATATATATATCTTTGGCCAAATCAACATTTTGGTGCGTTGACTCTAGGAGGTTGACCTATATATAATATAATATATATATATATATATATATATATATATATATATATATATATATAATATATATATAACATACACACACACACACACACACACACACACACACACACAGTATATATATACTATATATATATAATATATATATATATCATATTATATATATATATACACACACACAACACACACACACACACACACACAACACACATATACATATATATATATATAATATATATATATATATATATATATATATATATATATATATAAACACACACACACACACGATTTCACCTGCCATAAGTATTTACGTATTGAATGGTTATTATCATTAACACATATTGCATGCTTAAGTACACATTTTGTTAATATGCAGCATCTATATACTTTGCATTAAATTAGACGTTTTAATCATAAATCTGAACATTGTCACATGCATACTGGTGCAATCTCATCTTCTTAGTTTATTAGTGACAGTGTATAGTACTACACATCTTTTAATCACCTTTGACTACATTGGACCTTCACTGGTAATCTACCTAACTTCACAGTGCATAAAATGACCTTAAAACTTATTCTTGACTTCAGAAACATCTAATTACAATGCTGCCACTTCTGGAGTTGTAGTATTTGGACTGCCATCTTTGCTGTTATATATTATACTGTTCATCGAGGAAACGGTCAGAAAATGGCGTGGTCATGTCGCCGAGCGGGTGAAACGGCCGCGGAAGCGATGCCGGTCAACCAACTTGGTTCGCTTACAGGCACTCAGTACAAGTGCGGGCAACTGTGCTTAATTAAAGGCATAGAACTCAGTCTCAATCTGTCCCTTATTCATACATCTAGAGAAACGTACACACGCATATAACATAAACAATATATAATATATATATACAATATTATATATATACATATGTGTATGTGTGTGTGTTTGTTTGTGTGTGTATGTGTGTGTGTGTGTGCGTGAGAGCATGTGTGTATATACATATGAATTAATATATACGCATATATCTAGCAACCTATTTGTCTGTAGACATATATCTTTCCATATATACGCACAAATATCTGTATATCTATCTATCTATCTGTCTATCTATCTATATATATCTGTATATGAATCTAAATATGAACATATATAAATATTATATATATAAAATATATAATATACACACACTATTATCTCTCTCTCTCTCTCTCTCTCTCTCTCTCTCTCTCTCTCTCTCTCTCTCTCTATATATATATATATATATATATATATATATATATATATACATATAATCATACATATACACATACACACGACAGATGACGTAAGAGTAACGACATAACTATTAATATTATGTAATCAACCGACACTTTTCCTTTAATTTTTTCTCATCCAACAAGGCCTACATTGCGGCATGTCAGGCTATGGAACCTTCGATAAAGACACACATATATATATTTTTTATCTCTCTCTTACTCTTATCTTTTAATTCTCATGAAACAAGGCCTATGACGACCCTCGCCAGGCTCGGCCTCCGTATATAAGGCGGCCTCCCTGGCCGAGGCCACGAGTCCCCTCTCTCGCCAGCCATGAAGACCTTCCTGCTTGCCGTGACCGCCCTCCTCGCCGTCGGCTTCGTCAGGTGAGACCAGCGCCTCCATTTAGCTAAGCACAGGGCGTTATGCTGGAGTAACGGCTGTTATGTGTGCTAATTGTATATTCACATACTTCAGTGATTGTATATGTGAATGAAAACATAAATTGGAACACAAATTCAGTAAGATGTGGTTTTGGAGGAAGAGCATAAAAGAAGTAAAACGTTTTCACTTATCTTCTATTGTAGGGCTGATTTCATTGTCACATACACATATGTGTGTGTGCGTATGCATCTATATATATATATCATATATATATATATATATATATATATATATATAATATATATATATGTGTGTGTGTGTGTGTGTTGTGTGTGTGTGTGTGTGTGTGTGTGTGTGTGTGTGTTGTGTGTGTGTGTGTGTGTGTGTGTGTGTGTGTGTGTGTGTGTGTGTGTGTGTGTGTGTGTGTGTTGTGTGTGTGTAAATATGCATACACACACACACACACACATATACACATATACATATACAACATATATATAATATATAAAATATATATATATATATATATAATATATATATATATATATATATATATATATATATATATATATATATATATATATATACGCCAATAAACGTCACATGGTAGCAACAACAATAAGAATAAGAAACAAGAAGCGTTTAGAGGGCGCATACCTCCTCCAAGGTAATAAGATCATTGATGCAGTAAAAGCCTTCACGCTTAAAAAAATACTTTAAAATCATCTTTCTCAAGTACTCAAGCGACGCCCGTAAACATAACCTCCTTGGCAGACACAAGGCAAAACGGGTAATAATCCTTCAAAAAATTCTTGGATCCAGATCACGCTCCGCAAAACACACCTCTGAAAAATGTTCACAAAAATCTGTCCATAACGTTATTGTGCTAACAGACGAACAAATGATATCCAGGTCGCCACCGAAATAATGGCATCTGAATTAGGCAAAGATACACCTAAAAAAAAAAAAAAAAAAATCTATTCATTTCTTGGGTTATCTTGCTAACGAACGAACAAACCAACGCTACCGCAAACATAACCTCTTGACGGAGATAATAATTATGATAATTAATCATCATCACAAAAGTAACTACGTGTCAATGCCATGACAGCAGTAACAGCTGACCGTTTCCTTTCAGCTCCCAGACGGAGGCCTGGTGCCGCTGTGCGATGTTCGTGTCGTCCAACAGCGCAGAGATCATGGTCTACGAGTTGCCTGAAGTCAACATCACCGACTGCAACAGCCACAACCAGTGCAAGAACCGCTGCACAAATGAGGTGAGACAGTGCTTTAACC